AAAAAACACATATTAAAAAAAAAAAAAAAGAAACTCTAGGCACGTACGTACACCACAAATCTTTGTTTCAGAAGTGTAATGGTCAGACACTTAAAGGAAAAACTTTCAAGTAAAAGGAACGCCCCTTGTCTAGGGTATAATAGTAAAGTTTGTGCCTCATGCTTCACATATTTCGTTCTTGTGTAGAAATTCATTTTACTAAAGATTTTGAACAAACATTATGACAGCTTCCTTTTTTCTTTTTTTTTTTAATTTTTTTTTTTTTTTTTTTTTTTTTTTTTTTTTTTTTTTTTTTTTTTTTTTTTTTTTGAGATGGGGTTTCTCCATGTTGGCCAGGCTGGTCTCGAACTTCTGACCTTAGGTGAGCCGCCCACCTCGGCCTCCCAAAGTGCTGGGATTACAGGCGTGAGCCACTGCACCCGGCCTGACAGCTTCCTTTTTAATCCAAAGAAGTTTATGTTTTATGATGGACCAATGTTGTAGGCTGGGCACGGTGGCTTGTGCCTGTAATCCCAGCACTTTGAGAGGCCAAGGCAGGCAGATTGCCTGAGCTCAGGAGTTTGAGATCAGGCTGGGCAACATGGTGAAACCCTGTCCCTATTAAAATACAAAAAAATTAGCCGGGCATGGTGGTGCGTGCCTGTAGTCCCAGCTACTCAGGAGGCTAAGGCATGAGAATTACTTGAACCCAGGAGGTAGAGACGCTGCAGTGAGCCAAGATAGTGCCTCTGCACTCCAGCCTGGGTGACAGAGTGAGACTTTGTCTCAAAAAAACAAACAAACAAACAAAAAAATTAATGTGATAAGTTTATCAGGTTAACATAGGTTTACTTAAAACTGGTATTTCAGGCCGGGCCCAGTGGCTCACGCCTATAATCCCAGCACTTTGGGAGGATGAGGTGGACAGATCACTTGAGGTCAGGAGTTCAAGACCAGCCTGCCCAACATGGTGAAACCCCATCTGTACTAAAAATATAAAAATTAGCCAGGCATGGTGGTGGGCACTTGTAATCCCTACTACTCCGGAGGCTGAGACAGGAAAATTGCTTGAACCCAGGAGGCAGAGGTTATAGTGAGTGGAGATCGAGCCCCTGCACTCCAGCCTGGGTGACACAGTAAGACTCCATCTCAAAACAAAACAAAACAAAACAAAACTGCTATTTCAGGCCAGGCACGGTGGCTCATACCTTTTTTTTTTTTTGAAATATAATAATATTATAAAGACATTTATTTTTTTCCCCCATTTATTTATTTTATTGCATTTTAGGTTTTGGGGTACATGTGAAGAACCAGACAAAAACAAGCAATGGGGAAAGGATTCCCTGTTCAATAAATGGTGTTGGGAAAGCTGGCTAGCCATGTGCAGAAAGCAGAAACTGGACCCCTTCCTGACACCTTACACTAAAATAACTCCAGATGGATTAAAGACTTAAACATAAGACCTAACACCATAAAAACCCTAGAAGAAAATCTAGGCAAAACCATTCAGGACATAGGTGTAGGCAAGGACTTCATGATCAAAACACCAAAAGCATTGACAACAAAGGCTCATACCTTTAATCCCAGCACTTTGGGAGGCCAAGGTAGGCAGATCACCTGAGGTCAGGAGTTCGAGACCAGCCGGACAAATATGGAGAAACCCCGTCTCTATTAAAAATACAAAATTAGCTGGGCATGGTGGTGCATGCCTGTGATTTCATTTACTTGGGAGGCTGAGGCAGGAGAATCACTTGAACCCGGGAGGCGAAGGTTGCGGTGAGCCGAGATCGCGCCATCGTACTCCAGCCTGGGCAACAAGAGCAAAACTCGTCTCAAAAAAAAAAAAAAAAAAAAAAAAAACTGATATTTCAAGGAGTTATTTTTGTTTGTTTCTGGATGATAATGTTTTAAAGATAAATTATAACTATGCCATGTATTTTGCCTTGGCAAAATGGAATAGATTTATTCTTCTTAATCTTCTAAAATCTTTCTTTGAAGATTTCAGTCTTATCATTTGTAAATAATCTGCATGTAGTGCATAACTGCATAAAAATATAAATTAACCCTTTCCATTGTTAATCTTAAGATATGTGCAGTTCAGAAACACTGGGAGCCAGATATAGTGTTCTTTTACAAAGAGACTCTTACTTAAAGGCACAGTATAACCAACAGAAAATATCTCCAGTAAAACGTTGATACTTTAATTTCTTTGGGCTTACTTCTCAAGTTACATTCTCCCATTTTTAAATAGCTTCATAAGCTGTCTTTGGAGTTTTGAACCTGTTTTATGCAGTAGAATTGGATATTTTAAAATTCATTTCCAATGCACTTGAAATGAATATCCACTGTTAGACTAAAATTTTGTCCCATTTTTTAGTTTCTTGTATAGTATTTGAAGACTTTTAGTGATGGTGATCTCTGTTATGAAATTGATCTGGAAAACTAAGAATTATTTTATAAAAGTAAAAAAATTTAGGGGGAAGCAAAGAATTATATTGTTAACATTATTATATTTAAAGTGGATTAAAATTTTGAACCTATTCTTTGGACTACAAAATAGCACTATTTTATAATATACTTGAGTTATTTAATTACACACGTATCAACTAAAATAAATGTCATTTCAAGTTTTAACTTTTCTGGTGTACTTCAACTTCCTCAAGTTTAGTAAACTTAGAAAATACATTACGGCTTTTAATTGGAGAAGCAGAGCCCTAAACCATGTTTCTGAGGTGTTAATATTTATCAGAGATAAAACAAAGGAATAAAATTACACATATTTGGGTACATGAATAAATTTTGTTTTGGTCTGTTATGTGGACAATGTGGATTCTGGTGTCATTGGTTATCCTTACAAATCATGTTATTACAATGTGAAACTGAGCCGTTGCCCACATATTTGAAGTCTCCTTCTCAATCACTGTACTTGGTAAGTTAGCAACTTGTTAAGGCCTCCTATAATATCACAGGCCTCTTCCTAGCATATCTCTTCTGATTGCTGGCATTTAAGAGCTGCTTTCTTTTCTGAGACTGTAATATTAAGTTGAATTTTGGACATAAACATAATAGCAAATATGCAGTAATATACATGATATCAGGTCTCAGTGCTGCCTTCTTTAGAACCTTAAACCTGGTGCATGAATCTCAGTTACACATGTTCTCGCTCTTCCTTGTGAAATAAGAGTTCAAATTCACAAGAAATTATATAGAATAATTTTAACTGACCCTTCAAACATTTTCTTATAAGTTTTAAAAACATGGCTTAAGAGATTCATTTTTAACCCACAGCAAGGTCTAAAAGAACTTTCTGCAATAATGGAACTATTTTATATCTGCACCATCCGATATGATAACCACTAACTATGGCTACTGAATGCTTGAAACATAGCTAATATGACTTAGGAACTGAATTTTGGATCTAATTTTGATTGAATTAATTTTAATTTTTAATTAAAATAGTCATATGTGGCTAGTCACTATCTTATTGGACAGCGTGGCCATAGCATATACTTCAATTTGATATATACGCCCTCAATGGCAAGTTTATCAAAGATCCCTTCATTATTTGAGCTATAATACAAAAATTTTAAAACATTCTCAATGTAGGTAATTGTAATGATAGATACCTTCCAAATACGTCAAAGCATTTTAAATTTATAAAAGGAAAAAGAAAATCAGTCCAATTTAATCTTGGGTCTTGGCTTTTATTTAAAAATCTGGATGTAAAATTTAATTTCCCTCAAAATTTTAGACTATAATAAAATTTTGTATTTTCTAAACTTCTTTTTGTTTTGTGATGAAGAAAAGAGCCATGATAAAAAATTTCAAGTGGTCATAGATAAAATGCAATATTGACTTCTCACAAATGGTTTCTCCTAAAACCCTAAGGAAATAAGGAATTAATTTTTCCTTTCCCATCCTGAACATGTACTATTTTAAGAGCCCCCATGGTTGTACATGTTTTTGTGGTACAAATTACTATAGTGTCCTTTTTTTTGAAGGGTTATATAGCCACTTAATGACTGACCATTTTATCTTTTATAGAGAGGAACATCGTCCTTTGAAAGCATTTTCCCCTTTAAAAGTCATTTCAGTTGCATTTAAGAAACATCCATTATTATCCTTCCAGGGAATGCTATTTTTTCACTGGGCATTAGAACAAGATTAATTATCTTTGCCTATCAGAAAACGTGGGCTTGATTAAATCAGTCAAGGACATTAAATTCCAGCTTTACTCACTCTGGTGACCATACCGATGCTGAGTTGAAGAAGAATTTGTGAAAGTATCATTTGGTTAAAATTGTACGCCTGTCTCTTTAAATCTAAAAAAAAATCCTTTCAGAAGCTGTAGAGAGAAGGTGCTAGAACTGTGTACGATCATGACTGGAAAGCAGGATCCCTCAGTGACTGCCGAATCTTCCCAGCACAAGATAGAGAGGCTGTTCAGCACAAGCCTACATTGGTTCTAGGCACAACGATGGTCCTACCGAACAGATCTCAAATAAAATTAAATTGAGAAAGCAGATCTTTCAAGGGAATGAGGCGGAGGCTCGCTTTTATGTTAAAAGCCACCAGCATCCTCCTTGCTAGACATGGACATGACATTTTTAAAGGAATTATCTGGTTACAGCGTTTTAAGCAAACTGTTCTAAGGAGTCTTTACATTGCATTGTTTTTTCTATTCTTTTTTTCTTTTGCATATATGTAATTCTGGAGGTAAAGAAAAAGCCTGCCAGGGATTCAGAAGGCATCCCACTAGCGATCAGCTGACATTCCTAACTGAAGGCTGCAATGTGTTGCTTATTCATTTTGTACCGTGGGAGCTGCGGGGACTAGCAGAGAGCTAAACTATGCATTTCAAACAGCAGTGCTTGTGCAGAAAGAGGGGTGAGAGAGAGGCAGCCGGCGAGGAAAGAGCACAGCTGGACTTTCTCCTTGTTTTTATCCATTTCTGCAGGATCATGTATTCATAAGGGATGAGGCGGGCCACGGCGATCCCAGGCCTGAGCCGCGGCCTACCCAGTCAGTTCAGAGCCAGGCCCTCCACTACCGGAACAGAGAGCGCTTTGCCACGATCAAATCAGCATCTTTGGTAAGCAAACACCCCTCTACCCACCTTCCCTTCCTTCCCCTCCTCCCCATCTGGCAGCCTCTCGCCCTCCCTGAGCCTTTCTCGGCTTCATGGATGGGAGGAAAAGAGTCAAGAATGTTTTCTCTCTCCTAATAATTTTATTCATTTTAGGAAAAAAATCTGTTGGCATAGCAACCTGATTTCAGATATTATAGCATTGTCTATGGCATGGAAAAAAAAAAAAAAACCTTTGTGTGTGTGTGTGTGTGTGTGTGTGTGTGTGTGTGTGTGTGTTTATATGCTGTATGTGCAAAATATAGGGCCTTTAAGATGAAGTTGCTAGCCTGTCCAATTTTTTAAAAGCTGCTTGTCTTTTCATTGAAATAAATAATGCTAAATTTTTTTAAGGTATTGATGTATATTTGTGCAGGGCACTGTGCTTCTTTTTGTATAGATGCATATGTGTCTATAATGTATACACACACATCAAAAGATAAAATATAATTTTTAAAAATATATGGTTGCTGGCTAATGTATCTAATTGTAGAAAATAAGATACTTGCTTCCCAGGGATGGATTGCTGGTTCGTTCTGGTTCATTCATTTATTTATTGCAACAATGGTAGTGGCTGCACTTCCCCATTTAACCCCTGAAGAATTTCCTGGCACCAATAAAGCAAGAAGGGCTTTGTAGGAGAGGATAGGGCTGATTGTGAAAGAATAGAGACTGTAGGATTCTTCAGCATTTTTACTATTGCAAATGTGATTGCTGGATGCCCTTGTAGTAGCAAAAGGGGTGTGTGCTGGAAGAGTTAGTTTTCATGCCTCCTCCCCTCGGCCCCCTACGCGTGCGCGTGCGCGCTCACACTCACACACACACACACACACACACACACACACACTGACACCGTTTCATCCTTGCCACTCTAAACTCTCATTAATCTTTTCCTTCTGAATCTCACTTCTCAGCCAAAAAATTATTGAAATATTAGTTGTTTTGCCCAAATTGATGTTAGAGGTCACATGGGCAGGAAGAGTTAGTGTACACTGCTTGGCTATTACATTTAGAACCTATGATGACATCATCCAAGGCCGACCCAGAAATGATCATTTTTCTTGTCCTATTTTTTAAACCTGATTTCTACTTTATTTCTCAAGTCTTTTAAAGGCTTCGATTATCATTGGGATTTATAACGGATTACAATCTTTAAAAACCCAGATACAAGGAAAAATGGAAGTTAAAGCACCTACATATTGCTATGCCTGCTGCTGTCTAAAAGCAAGCAATTTAATTTAGACTGCTTATAAATAAGCCCACTTTTAAGTTCCTTTATGTAGAGGTTTCTTATAATCCCTTTGATGAGCAATTTTTCATTTGAAAGGAATGCTACACTGTGTAATAGAGATTTTAAAATGTCCAGTATGTATTTGCTAATGATTCTTGAGCACCTTAAAATATGCTTTTGAGTCTAGGTAAAGCATCATGAGATTATCAAATAATCATTATCTTCATGCCATGATATCTGTCAAAAGGAGAGATATGGTGCTTTAGAGAACTATGACTACTTACCACCGACTCGTATGAGACTTGTACCTTTATCCATACCTGTTCATGTTGAAATGAGAGGAGAAATGATAACAAGCTCTGAGCATCCGAACACCATCAGCGGTTTTACATGTGAAGCAGACATTATACCAAGTGGCTTTCCCCCTCTGGGACAGGTTCTCTTTTCTCTCTTGCCACACCCTCATTCCCACATCATATATTCATAACCTCTCCTACCTCCCAGCAAGAGATTACTACAGCCATGCCAGAATAATCTCACACTGGCATCTATGAACTCACCCAGGACTACTGTGTGTGTATCAGCCATCACAGTCTTCCTGTCTGTGGATGATAATTCCCTACTAGGCCACCTCAGGGCTATGGGCAGTGTCCTCAGGAACCCTCTGAATCCTGCAGTCTTCCTAGTGCCCATCCAGAGAACAGCTGCAACCAGTTTCTGTAATGAAGTTTTGATTTGCTAAAAGGCTCCTGCCCCTATATTAAGTTAAAAACAGAGTAGCTGATATGCTGTTGCTTTAGCCACAAAATAAGTTGTTTTTTGTGGGGCACCCTCTCTAAACGTAGTGCTTTGGAGTCATGGTTGGGATTGGTGGTAGTTTATCAGAGTTCAGTGGTATTTGTATCTAGTGGTTTTTAGAGAGGAAAAAAAATAGAAAGGAAAGGTATGGTGTTGTATGAATCCGTGTCCCATTTTGAACAATCTAACTATTGGTATGGATTTTTTAATGTATATTGCCAAGTACTACAATTCTACTACCCATTGTATTATTTTAAAGCCTAATGCCAATGGGAGTATATAAATCAGGATACTGGAATAGCATAGAATATTTAATTTTTAAAGATATATTATAAATCCTATTGTTTTATGGATCCCAGCTCAAATGAAAAAGACTAAAATGACATAAATGACATAAAAGTAAGAGCAAGATCATGGGAAAGTGGAAGTCCAGTATAATAAAAAAAAATCAAATCATTGTTGAAACCTTGCCTTACTTCTAATGGTTGGTGGCAATACTATATTTATTCGTTTATTTTGGTTTTATTCTTTCTTTAACATCTTTTAGTAGAGGCGCTAACAAGTCACAAAGAGGTCCAAAGATGAACAGGAAAAAGAAGGAATTTAGAAATTAGTTTTTCAATTACTCGATAAATAAATGATGAAATGCATATTTTCAGTTGGCTTGCAAACTGACAAAAATATTACTCTTCCTAAAATTTGTTTATGAGCCTACCTCTTCAACATGAGCCTAAAAGAGTCCTGGCTTTGTGCTTTTCCCCATTAGTATTACTTTCAACATTGTGCTTTTGAATGAAGTTATTGACGAGTACATGAAGAAGCCCATGGGCTATGGGCCTGTACTGCTACATGTCTTTATTATGTTAGCACCTTAAAACTGAGATTTTTGTATTATGTACTGCTGCACAGTTGCATTTGTAACAAAGGATAAGGAAGGACTATAAACCTTGATACCAGAGGAAACCCTAAGTAAACTTTAGATTGTAATTTTTTTTACAATTGTATAATTTTTATTATATTTTCTAAGGGCAGAGATTATTGTCTTTATTTTGAAGAATTAGGAAAAGGAAGGGCATTTCATGGCATCTTTATTTTAACCTTTCTTTTTCCTCTTCAGTAGGAAAGTTCATTCTGGGCTGATGTGTTATCTGGAAAAAGGAGTTGTTTGTGTAGTTCTGCAGAATTACTAATCTGACTTCTTGGGCCTTTGAGATGTGCCTTCCTTTATTTTTTATGGAAAGCCTAATATTTTAATAAAATTAGTGACTCATGAGGGTGTTTTCAGCTGTTGCTACATCTGATGTCATTTCTTCTGAAAACTTTATAATGTCCTGGGTTCTTGGCTGTTTCCATGGTAGAGATATTAATATCAAGAGCACCGTATCTATCAGAGTTCAGCTTTTGACTTTGTGAAGAAATTCTCACTGCCCCTCTTCCTAATGTATGTTCTAACACAATTTACCTGTGACTGCATTACACAGGCAAATTTATGTTAGAACACATGTCAGGGAGAAGGGCACAAGAGGGGAATCCCCAAGAAGCCATGTAGGAGAAAAGTATTATTGTTCTCTACATGAAAATATAGATTCTTCTACTTGGCTTTGCCAGATTTGATAGAAAAACTCATTAAAAGAGAGTCTTCATTTGACGTTTTTAAAATGCACCCTAATAATTCAGCTCATGGTGAAATTGGGTACCTGAATGAACTTGATACATAAGAATAAAACTTTGAGAGCTTCAGCAGTAAATCCTACTGTTTTAGCTCTCATGAGCCCAGTTCTGTTTCTAAATGCTTGAAAATGTGTTCTCTTCCTGGACAGTGTACCATAGGATGCTTATCAAAATATTGCACGTCTCTTTCCTTATTCTTGGCTTCTTAACTCATTACAGTCATTGCTGACACCATTTCTCACTTGTATTGTCCAGTCTACCTGTCCAACCCATATGATCAAAGTCTCTCAATAAATGTGTGTTGAATAAATGAATGAACAAATGAATGAAGTCACCTCCAGCCCTGCTATCACATAAGAATTTGGATATATAAGTTTGCATTTGAGAATTCTTCATGTAGCATATTCTTTTATAAAGGCAGAATTGTCTGTTATCAGTCATCACTTTTAGCAAAAACTTAAAAACAGTTTTTCCTTAGGTATTCTAAAGAATAGAATGTTAAATTTCTAATGCCAGAATGTGACTCACTGTATTCTTTTTAAGAACTTGCTATAAATTTCATTTGTTCTAAGTGCTGAGGTGGCCACTTTTATCATATGCATCATTTTGATTCTTACATATTATTAATCGTGTAAGTTGGCTTTGATCTCTTAAGAGGGTAACATTATCAGCCATCATGCTCTTGTTTAATGTTCAGGAAGTTGCTTATTAGCCTTCTAGTGCAGTGTTTTATACACGGTAGGGACATGCTGCACTTCGGATGAAGTGGTTTGTTTTGGGGCTGAATTTTGCTGCAATTAAATCAAGTAACATTGAACAGCTTTAGGAACCTTTAGAAAAAAGTTCTGGTCTTCCTTTCTATGACTTATTATTTATTATTTATTTGTTTATTATATTTTACATATTCTAGATACATGAAATGTGTAATAATTCAGATTCAGAAATTACATATAATCTTGTAATCCACAATCTAGATACAGATAGTTTTTTGTTCCTTAAATGTGCCCTTTCTCCTGGATCCACTTATTCTGATCTATGTCTCCATCACCAGAAATACTAAGTGGAGGGCAAAGGGATGTGCTTCGCAGAGCCTGGCATTAGAAGGAAGGAATCCAGCATACACTGAACATTTCCTGGGAGTCAGTCACCCTGCTAGGCACTTTCACATGTGAAAGTCCTCTGACCCTGAGGAAGACAGTAGTTGTTCCTCTCTCTTTACACATTAAGAAACTGAGAGACTTCGAGAGGTTCAGTAATTTGCTCAAGGTCAGTTATATAGTAAGAGATAGATGAGATTTTTCTTCATGCAACCTACTGGGTGCAGCAGGGCGGTACTGCCCACTTTTAGTTAATCACAGTTTTTGAGACTGCCATTGTAAAAACTGCAGTCACTACATCTTTCTAACTTTCTTCCATTTCAGACTCATTCAATTTGTAATTTACACTTACCACTTTCTGTAGCTTTGACTTTTTTGGGTGTTGATTCCCTCTATTACTTTGTAAAGAAAGTAGTCACTCTTTTTCTGCCTTGGTGATGCAAATTTCCTCAGGCAATTCAAGAACCGTAGGAATCCAAGGCCTTCTAAAAATTAAAGAAATAAATTATATGTGAAAGCACTTTTAAAACCATATGCCTGAAAAAGTTATGGGCAATTATTTTTTATTTCATTGACCAAATAGTGTATTCTTAAAACTCACAGTGTACACTTAAGACCCATAGGCACATATAACTGTAAATAACATATTTTTTATATATTTCATGTTAGACTTTACAACTGAAATATCTGGTCATACTTTTATTTAAATTCATCTATCCAGCTTGAACATGGAATTATAAAGCTTCACATCTCTATATGTACCCAAAAAGACAATTTAAAACTTAGAAAGTTTAGTTGTGACAAATGGAAGGTGATATTAGGAGTTCAAGAAGGTAATTATCTGCATTATGGGAAGCATTCAAAAGCAAAATGTCTCTCCTGGAATTCAGTGATGTACAATATAGCAGTTTGAGCTTTGTAATTTTTCTTTGCCACATCCTTGTACCAGGTGTGATCTGGTACAAGTAGAAGGCCACCCTCTTTACAGAGACCCACCCACCAATTAAGATAGAAAATGTTCTTGACACAACTCATTTCCCTTTTATCTTTAGGGAAATGACCATCCTGAGAATATTTTATTGGCTGTAAGCCAATGCTTATGGCAAGTTTTAAATGAGTCTCGATATCTTAGATTGTGCCATGCCTCAGCTTTGGGAATCTGATTAAAGAAGGAATACTAAAATAAGAAAAAATATCTAGCTAAAATATATCTAAAATTCATTACCCTAGCCCTGATACTTTACTGCCATATTTTTCTGAAAAACAGTTAAATTCAGAAAGGGCTAAATGGTATCCTTTCTATTGATTAGAATTGTTTTCTCCTTAAAGTTGTACTTCAGAAACATAGAGGCATGAAGAAGTAAAATTGATACATATATTTCAAACGACTTCCTTTCCTCCTTTTATCTTGAAATAGGTCCCTTAAAAAAGTACATTTTCTGATAACAAAATAGATCATTTATTTTCTTTAGAGGGTTAGGTGGCTTTTGGGTGATACTCTCCTTTTTTGGTCTTGAAATATCCTCTGCTCTAATTCCTAATACTTTAAAGAATATTATCCTTCAGAAAAGAGAAATGAATATGACACCTAGTGTTAGTTTCAGCTGGAAAGGGTTCAAAGTTTGGCTAATGTTTAATGGCGTATTTTGATAATACTATCTAGTTACAGAACAGCACTCTCTTGATAATGAGGATGCAATCTAGTATGCAGGGCCACCTTCTAAAAAGAACATAGAGGCTGGGCGCGGTGGCTCAAGCCTGTAATCCCAGCACTTTGGGAGGCCGAGGCGGGTGGATCACGAGGTCAAGAGATCGAGACCATCCTGGTCAACATGGTGAAACCCC